CCCCCCCCTCCCCCTGAATTCCGACTGAAATCACAAAACGCATCCAATAAATAAATTTCAACCAGATTAACGCATCCAAATGGTCGCTACAACATTGGATTCTAAATAGCTACAATACATATATATTAGCCTTGGGTTTTTTTCGTTCGTTTTTTTCCTCTCTTATAAAACTCCAAAACCAAGTTAGCCGTAATTTACAATCCTGCCGCCATGATATATAAACATAGGAAAAAAATTGGGATCTGGAAATCTGTTCACTATGTGCGTGATCGACTGAATTACCTCAACATACTAAACTTTCTGAAACATTCTGAGCTTCCCCACAAAAGCATTGCTCAGTGCAGGCTGACGAGACCTTTCACTTCCACAGAGTTCACCATTTACCATTGCCACCAAGGTGGAGAGAGAAGCACAACGTCAGTCAGTCCCTGATCCATAAAATCCTGTGGCCTAAGCCCCTTGCCCACAGACACAGGAATAACAGTTGCATTTCATCACACATCTTATCACAGAAAATGAAAGTACACAAAAAAATACAAACATAATGACCAAATAATTCTGGAACATGAACACCTTTAAAGACTCATGCTACCTTATAACAAACCTTGTACATTGTCATGTACTGAGCCCTAGTATTGAGATTCCAGTATTGCAAGTCACTCTGTCGTGCATTTTACTGCATTTGAAGTTATATTTGATCACTTCATCAATGCAACACCGAGAGAGATCTTAGCCCAAAAAATTTTTACACCGGAATCAGGGGTACTACCATCCTATTTTCATAAAATCGAATTAAAATCGTGACAATTCCGCCAACTTCGTAATTATGGGCAGCCCTGTCCTGGGCCGATTCATCACATATGTGACTTGTTATCCGGGAGAAGCCTCCTTTGTTTGTCACTTTTACACTTATTTATAATATTTCGGAGAGCAACGATACAAAGTGTAGCGAAACAGCATTGTCTCTTACCTGTTTGTGGCTTGGGAGCTGCCCCTGTACCTGACCAGACAGAAAAAGAAAGAAGAAAAAGAGTCAACTATAACAATCATTTTAAATTAGCGGCGGGTGCACTAAACCACATTGCGTGACATCTTCAAGCAGTCAAAGACACAGAATAAGATGAACACAGCAACAGGAACGCCACTGGAATTTTGTGAAAATAACTGAAAAATGTATCAAAGTGTATTTGCAAACAAAAAGACAGTTCATAGACATGAGCAATATAGGGTTACACAGATAACAAGTTCTTCAAATAATAACAATTGCTCTGTAGGAGAAAATAATGGAAAATATTGTTTTAAACCCAGAAAACCAGCATCCTTGCAAGAGAAATTGATCTAGGGTGCAAATGAAACCTCCATATACCACATCTTCCATCTCCATAGTGAAATAGTGAAAAATGCAATAGGATTTCACGGCCAAAGTAAAGATACTTTAACAGAAAAAGCCTGTTTCCGACAATGACAGAAAAAGCCTGTTTCCGACAATGACAGAAAAAGCCTGTTTCCGACAATGACACAAAAAGCCTGTTTCCGACATTGACAGATAAAAGAAACGCGAAACAATACCTCTTTTCATGCAATGTATATCTATCAAATTATTTATTTTTTACCCATCATTCTATTTATGGCCTTAAAATTTTTTGGGTAAATATCCCTGAACCCCAGGGATGTGTTTTATCACAAGTTTTGTGTACAGTGTATCGCCTACCAACACCTTTGGAAAGACCTAAAAGAAATATTTTCATTGGTAGTAATTTAAAGAATTTTACCTACAGGTTGATCCCAACAGAATTCTCAATTTTATCAAAATCATTGGTCTTTCCTCTAAGATCTGAATTGGCCTTTCCAAAACACAAATGTGAGCCAGCGTGGTGGAATCAGGCTCTCGTCAAAATAATCAAAGTGAAGAAACTTGCATTTTTCCGCAGGTTTGTGAATTTTTATCAAATTTTTGTTTTTTGGCTGAGCACCTTTCATGTCCATTAAAGAACTCATTTCTGTGTGGATTTTTTTGAAAAACATTGATTAAAGACACAGAAAATGTAAATTTTCAGTTACCACGGACGCTGAAACGAAGGAAATAACTAACCTTTGGCAGCCATTTTCTCACTAATTTTACCTCTGAAAACAGGTGACCCCCACCTCCTTCAATCGCAAATATCTCGACTTGTATTCAAGATAAATGGATATTCTTTTCATCCAAATAAAGACAAGTGAACAAGCTTTAAGATGACACCAATAACTCTACATGCCCAAAAATTGACGAGAGCCTGATTCCACAATGCTGCCTCACATATATGGAAAACAAAAACACAAAACACTGAGGGTTTCATGCGAGTGGGAGGGTGTGTCTAGAAATCATACAGGTAAAACCATCACAGACTGGAACTCTAGCTTTAGTTTTAGTAAGTTTTATGGCACTTTCAATGCAAATGGGTTACAAGAGTACCAAAGATTACAGGTGAAGCTAGAGATTAACATACATAGAAAAATAAGGAGGAGAGATGTAGGATGGTAGATGTTCAATAGAAAAGAGTGAAGCATACCGCACCCGCCAACCACCCACGTCTAAGTTCTATAACGTCTCACCCGCACCCGCCAACCACCCACGTCTAAGTTCTATAACGTCTCACTGAAGCATACTGCATCCGCCAACCACCCACGTCTAAGTTCTATAACGTCTCACTGAGCAGACTACATAGAATCCGCTTCAATTCCTTAATTACTTAACAAGTGACACTCTGCACAACAAGCCCATGTGCCCGATTAGAATTCAACATAAACCACACGAGGGAGGGGGGGGGGAGACGAGTTTTTAAAGATTAAGTAAGAAGATTACAAAACTTAAAACACAGATAGATCAGAGAACCGAAAGACAACTTTACAAGGTAAGACACAGAACTATACGAAAAGAGAAAAATAATGCACAACATAGAATCAATGACACAAAAAGATAACCCCATGTGTTAATTATAAGTTAAGCTAATCATAAAGTTATCTACACAAGCTTTCTTGTAAACAACCAAACACTACAAATTCTACAAAGAGTCTAAACCAGATAAAAAGCAACCAAAAAAAAAGAAAGAAAAACAGAACAAACCTCCCTATGACTATGAAAACCAAGAAAAATTACACAAAAATGAAAACTCATCCCTAAAACAAATTCATTTCAAAACTGGGACCAAAATTCACATTATTGGCAGAGCAACAAACTACAACTACCATGCAATACTTGAACATAAGTGGGTTGCATACAGAAAAAACAAAAAAACAAAACAAAAAAGTCTAATTTAAAAAACCCAAACAACAACAAGAAAATATAACCCAGGGATGGGCACAGATCATTAAGACATTAAGAGACTTTCCGTCACGTCTTTATCTTTCCATACATTTCAGGAATGATCATCTGATTCCAATGACAAAGGCCACTCCGCCAAGCGACATACTGTATTGTATTCCTTTGTTTGTGTTCAAACAATAACATCAGTCATTTACTGCTAGGAAAGAGTTAGATATAAATAGACAAGACAAAACGAAAGAAAAGAAGTAAGACATATCAGCGGCACTCTCCAACCTTCCAAGAACCATACACCATACTACACAGACAATCAATCAAAAGTTTAATCACTTGAACGGACACAACTGACTACAAAAACAATCTTGATCCGATCTATAACGCATGTGATGACAAATTCATCTGTGAAACTTCTCAAGTACTGTTGGCCATCCATCCACCACTTACTTTTTTACAACTTTTCCTCCTTTTTTTTTGGGGGGGGGGGGGGGGGGGGGCACAGTGCAGAAACAGGAAAGTGATTCTGAGTATCCAGAGCATAGACAATTTTGAAACCATCAAATGATATTACCATGGTAGTTTCAAGGAGAATTATTCGAAAATCATTTTCTCAAAGTGTCTTCCATAACTTAATCACGCATGGTTCCAAACGCCAATCAACAACATGCAATAGGACTTCTCCTTTCAAAACATCCTGAGCTGTCACAGTAAGTACACAATGCTACACATCATTTCTTGACCCAGGTACAATTACAGTCTATGATGACCACCCACTGCCAAGGAGAAAAGTGGCCTTCTTGCTGAACATTATCATTAGAATAATTTAAAAACATCAACAAAAACACAAGGGGCAAATGAGGAGTGGCAGTTGGAACAAGTGATTGTTTTATACAAGTAGCAATTACAGATGGTCTGCTGTATTACAATAAATTTTAAAAAACCAATACGCCGTCTTGCCATTGTTTTGGGACATTCCAAAAACCAAATAAAAAAATATCAGAAATACAATGCCCATCCCTGAAAACAAATGTGAGAATCAAGTAAAAGGGGAAAAAAATTCAAGAGCAACCAGCCCACAAGCTCGGCATAAAAGGGCTCAGTCCAGAATGCACAAAAGAGCACACCTCAAGCCAGGGTGAATGTGTAGTATTTACAACAAGAAGCCCAGCTAGGGGGGCAACACCTTTCCCTGAACATCCAAGGACGTGGTCACAACACGATGGACTCACGTGTACCTCTGGAGGAACCAGCAGGCTCCTTTCCTTGTTGCTGAGGCATGTCTGGAGCGAAAGACTTGGAAAAGTTTGAACCAGTGGCTGGGATCCTCATGTCCGGCCGTGGTGACCACAACTGCTGCCGCCTGTTGACGCCGACGTGACCTTGACCAGTCACTGACCGGATCTCTCCGTCGGATAAAGAACGATGTAGTTCAGTCATATCAGGCTTTTGGGTTCTGTCTGAGGAGGTCTCCCGTCTATAAGGCACGGGGGAAGTAACGAAAGACTTTTTAACGACACCTTTCTCCGCTTGACTGAAAATATTCCTGACACTCTTTTGCATGGACAGCAAAGCTGCTTTATCTATGGTTCTCGACAGACTCCCAACAGAAGGGCGGCCCTCCAAAACTTGTTTGGTGACGGTGGAACTGCTACGTGGTCGAGAGACATCCTCAGCTGGAAAAGCTCCATCCTCTAAAGAAGCTGGAATTGGAGCAAGTTTTCCCTTGACTATGGACGGTACATCATTAACAGCACTTGGCTTAGGCGGTACAAAGGCTCGGATGCATACATCTCTGTGTCCAGACTGCCTTGTTGTTTTCTTCATAGAAGGATGCAATTTTTCTTTTGGTGTTTCCCGAGGTTCAGAAAAGAAAGAAGAAGCTTGCTCGCCACTCTGTACCCCCAACGTCTTCTCCTTTGCTATTAAAATACCATTACCGCCAAGGTCACTCGACGACTGATGAAGAAGCCCCCCTACGATAGGCAACTTGTCCTGGGCATACAAAGACCCCGTACCATCATTTGAAGGAAGTGTAATTCCCAGCGGCTGTTTATCTGAGTACGACACCGGCTGACAAGACAGTCCTTGTCCGGGGGTGCTTATAATGACAGGAGACTGTGTCCGAACATCTCTGTGGACTCTGCTGTTGACAGAGTTCATGGACAAATTCGGAACGTTCCCCTCTGAGAAGGACTTCCTGCCTGCAAGCAGAGAGGTCAGCAATCAGTCAAAACGAGTGCGGGTCGGTCAGTCAGGCAAATGATGGACAGAGCATCAATGAATGAACTACCACACAACTCTGGTTATGACATGGTTTTTATTTTAACGCCCTTCAACATTTTTTTTTTTTTACAATTGTAGAATGTTAAACAGGGAAGATTTCAGAACCTACCATCCATCTTTGATAGGACAAAGCCAAGGGTAAACAAGGAGCCTTGAACAACTCCACCAAGTTCATGAACCCAAGTTCACGAACTCTCTACTGGGAATTCTAACCATGATCTTCTACATCAGAGCTCAATACGATACCATGATACCGACTTTTTAGTTTTAGCAGAGGTTTTACGACACTCGCAACTGCATAAAAGGTCATATGAGCGCCAGAAGATTAGAGGTGTTACAAGAGAGTAACAAACATAAAAATGAAAAAGGGGAGATAAGGACGATAGACCTTTGACAGAAAAGAAGAAGCAAACCATACCAGAGCACCCGCCAACCACCCACTGATACCGACTGAACCAGCAGCAAGCCCTCACAAAATTTTTCTCTTATGGCCAAAATAGAAGTACCCGTACCAAATGCTAGTTATGAATATGACGATGAATATATGAATATGAACAAACAAAAATAATAACTGTTCTTTCTTGAAACGAGACTTAATCTCCAATGACAAGCCACAAGAATGAAATACAGCAAAATGCACTTTAAAAACCTCCAGATTTTTTTTTTTTCAGTTTGGCCAGGTTTTCGGTTAAAAGAGGTTACTCAAAAAGAAGACGGAAAAAAGCTGAAATAGAAGAACAAACATTGGGGATTCTATTTTCTTTCAATTTACCGCCGTTTTTGGACTGACCTAGTTCGGTTTAAGTAAGTAGACTCCACCATATTCCCCATGGCATACACATAATATACATATACCAGCACTAAAACTATGAAAAGATGGGGGGAAAAAAAGGTAAGTATCATGTACACAAAGATTATATCGACATCAATTAATCAAAGAAACAAACTCATGCAAAACAACTTGTGTACACATCATTATCACCCAAAAACAAAACACACATGATGTGCTGCAAAGGGGAGTTCTGAGTAACATTTTGACACATGAACAAAGAGGGAAATTAAGGAGTGACAGGGAGCCAAAAATAAACCTAAAAATATTTTAAAAAATAAAAAGAGATATCAGACAGTAACTGCAAACACACTGCATACACACAGAAACACAATACCCATGAAAAAAGTTCACCAGTTCACAAGCATTTAAAAAAGATACAGCATGGAAACAGAAAGCCTGCACTTATAAACCAACACAAAAAACAAAACAAAATTTAAAAAAACAAAGCAAAAATTACATGAAAATCAACTAGCAAACTTTTCAATACAAAATAATTCGGGCATCAACGCTCACTTTTACAAACATAAAATATGTCAAATAAAGTAAAAAGAGCAGAACACACAAATACGCTGACCAACCAGTCCTATGAACACACCACCACACTAACCAACCAGTCCTATGAACACACCACCACACTAACCAACCAGTCCTATGAACACACCACCACACAGACCAACCAGCCGTATGAACACACCACCACACTGACCACCCACACACCACACCAAAGTATACACGACATGCTTTCTGTATATATATGTCGTAATATGATCATAAGACATCAGACAATGATTACGTACGTACGTATACACTGATTACCACAAAAAAGTCCCAGGCGAGGACAAAGAGGACACATAAAACTACAAGACGTCTTCTCTTACTCACCAGACTTCCCAGGAAGAGGGCCGGCCGCACCCCCAAACGTAAGCGCCATGGCCAGGTTTTTCAAGGCCTGCCCTTCCATGGCCTCCTGGTTCCGGATCTGCGACTGGATCTGTTCATACAGCGACAGAGCCGCGTTGCCGGGGGACACTGGCGACTTTTGAGGGGACGGCGTGTCGCCCCTGGAGGTGGAGGAGGAGGCGGCGGGTACGGCGGCCCCAGGAATACGAGCGGCAGCCGAGGGGCCGCTTCCCGCGCGCAACAAACCCGAGCTGCCAGAGGAGGAGGAAAGCATCCCGCCGGCGCCCGCAGACAGCGACGAGCCCACCACGGGCCTGCCTGGTGGCGACGGCTGCTTCATGAAGTCAGCGGCCGCGGCCATATTGCCGCGAGGGAGCGCGGGGTACCCAGCAGAGTTCTTTGCCGATGACGATGATGGTGATGTCTGAATGCTCAACTGTGATGAAGATGAAGACGGTGGTAAAGCGGAGGAACCGGCCAACCCCAGCCTCTGCTGCTTTTGCAGGAAGTCTGGCATGGACGTGCCGAGGACTGTTGCTTTCTGCATGCTCCTCGGAGCGGTCCCGACAGACACCAGGGAAGGGTTACTGTTGGGACTTGCCATTCCTCCTCCGAGTCGCTTGCTCTGATCGCCGGCACTAAATTTGCCGACGGTCTGAGGGGCCGATTTGTCCGATAAATTAGAATGCGAAGAGGGGAACAGACCAGCGGGGAACTGTCTTTTGTACATTTGGTTTTGCACGGTCTTGCTGGAAGAAAAAGATGCCTTAGTTTTCTGTTGGGAGGATTGTGGGGGGAGAGAGGTACTGTGTGGAGATGAGAAACTGCTCTTTCCAGCAGCGCTGACAGACAGTTTGTTGGAAAACGTAGCCGGAATGCGGCTGATAGCAACAACGGGACTTATGGATTTCTCTTTGGGGAAAATAGAATTCACATTCGCCCACGACGAGTTCGGGTGTTCTCGATTCACAACCGTTGGGGAAATTGCTGCCTTTAGAGAAACGCTGGCCATTTTCGAGTCCTGAGATAACTTCTGGTGCTGTGTGGCGTTGCCCGATTTGTGCTGCAGGGTGGAGACTTTCGGGTGTTGCTGCGAAGATAAAGACAACTTCTGCAGCTGAGAGGACTTCTGTTGCTGAGATGACTTTGCCTGCAGACTGCTCGAAAGTTGCTGCAAATGCTGCTGATGCTGCCCTGGACTCTGTTGCTGCTGCTGCTGCTGCACCGGTGCTGACGACGAACCAGCAGCTGTGCTGTTCTTGCCAGAGGACGAGGGAAGATGGGAGGACTTGGTCGGGTACGTGATGAAGTCATTGAAGGCGGCCATGAAGGACCTTTCATTCGAGCGTGGCGAGCTAGACGACACGCCGCCCTGAAAAGACACAAAAGTGACATTCTTCAAGGCACTTCGAGAAGACAGACAAAACGAGTTGTAAACCGATGTAACGAGAAGAATCAAAATATCATCGTCCATCTCACAAACTGACAGAAAAGTAACACTGGCTGCGACCGTAGTTTCCTTTTTTTTAGTTTTAGTACGAGTTTTACAGCATAAGTAACACAAATGACCTGACCATCAATGATTTATTTATAGAGGCACCAGCCATCCATGTCCAGGTGCTGTTTTAGCCTCTTTTTCCTGTATTCGGATTAATAATATATTATATATAAATCATATAGGCGTCACAGATTTAGTTAAGTTTTAGTAAGAGTTTTACAGCCTTTGCGAAAACAATAAGGTCAAATAAATGCCGTAGATCAGGGAGTTACAACAAGAGAGTAACAAACACAAAAAAGGAGAAGGGAGAAGGAAGATAAATGTTTGATAGGAAAGAAGGAGCAAACCACACAAGAGCATCCGCCAACCACCCACAATGACATACAGAACCAGAATTGGAAACGTCATCGGGCCATATGAAACTTCAGTGGAAAGGCTGCGCAAACTGAAGTGGTATGGGTACATCATACTATAATCTTGGCTGGCTACGGTTTTTTAGTTTTAGTAAGCTTTTACAGCGCTCACAACTGCATAAGGTCATATGAGCGCAAAGGGGTGGATGTCAACAAGAGAAGTCCAAACAGTGAATCAGGCTTACTCTGCTCACCCTTCAAGCCTTAACAGCACAAAGTCTGCTTCGACTTTCAAGGCGCCCCCGAAATAGCGGTTCACAAGAGAGTGACAAACATACAAAAGATAGCACAGACCGATGACCTATCTGTTTGTGAGATGGAGAATAATACATGAAGCTCTTTGCTTATAGTAAGTTATAGGACACCTCGTCGGGGGGGGGGGGGCTGTCCCAACAACACCTTCTTTAGTTAAGTTTTACTTTCAGTACACGTTTTACGGCACTTGCAACACAATCAGGTCATATAAGTGAAGAAAAATATAGTTCCAATACACACACCTTTTCCGGCACTTGCAACACAATCAGGTCACTTAAGTGCAGAAGAACATAGTTTCAGGATACGTTTTATGGCTCTTGCAACACAAAACAGGTCACTTAAGTGCAGAAAAACAGAGGTGTTACTAGAGATTAACATGTACAGAAAAGAAGGAGGAGGATGACAGATAAAAACGATAGATGTTTGATAGGAAGAAAAAGTAGCATCATTTAGCTTTACAAAAACGCAAGAAAGTAACAGTATGCAGTAGATAACATTCTGTACTCATCCATATTAGGCGTGAGCATTTGTCCATTGGAGTGAGTGTATATGTGTTCGAATGTAGGCGCGATTTCCTGCTTTGATTCCAGGTTAACCAGATTTTCTAAGATGCAGCAACACGCCTCGTCACCCCAGAACTATTTTGTCCAAAGCGACTCTCCAATTTACAGAGATGCCAAATGATTTTTGAAAAAAAAATGAAAATGAGCGGAGTATCACATCTCACCTAAACAGAACCTTGTAAAGTTTTTAACCCTTCCAGCCCCAGCCATTTTTGTGCACTCCCTAACCCCAGTCCCAGCCAATACAGCAGTATTTCAGAAAAAGAGGCATTCATTCTAAAAAGTGATGTAGTATCTTTGTAATGTAGCTTTGATAATAACATATACCATTTTTTCAAGGTAAATGACCAAGTAATAAGAAAATTAAAGTTTAAATAAGGTCGCTAATTTAGAAAAATGCGCGAATTCGGTACCCCCCGAAACTGAGAATATGCGCTCTTGGGATGGAGGGAGGTACAAGCGCTGCTGAAAATATACGCGTTTGGGGCTGGAAGGGTTAAACGAGGAAACAAAAACATCTCCTCTCCTACCTCTCCCCTTTCTTTTGCAAGTGGAAAAGAACCGGAAAAACCGGACATTTGGCATCCCTGAATTTCGTACACTTTGGACAAAATAGTTCTGACGCGATGTCCTGTTAAATTATCTTCACTCGTGTGCATACCTGCAGATGAGGCACCCAAATCATTATCCATCCCAATCCTTTTCATAACTAGCAGCTGTCATTTTTTAATAGCGTAACGCTTACAATACCGTCAGCAAGTTTAGTCGCCAGGCCGAAGTACGCGCTCACTACCACTGGCGACATTAGTCGCCCACACAACCAGACACGCTAAACATAATTAAACAACGAATGGACGCACTGCACTGAAGTAAATACCAAAGGAAGTCACTCTATATATGATAGCTGAAAAGTTGATGAGCCTCAATGAAATTTTTCAAACATGTTTCTTCGGCTGCCAAGGTTTTTTTAATTAATTAAAAAAATTCTACCACAGCTTCCGCGTTCAGCACTGGTGCTGAAAAACCGTTTGCCCACCTTGTTCCATCAGTCTGGAACTCTCTTCGCCAACCCCTGATACATACAACATCTGAGTCTAAATTTAAAACATCTTTAAAGATACATTTAATGAAATCAATTTTATGTCACTAGATTCATGTTCAGTACAATGTCTTGTAAATGACTATGTATCCATTTACGTATTTAGTAAACCAAGGAACTGCACTGTGTATATTATTTTATTAGGTATTTTATTTACATGTATGTGCTCATTTCGTAATGATGTATTATAAGCGTGCGCATATGAAAAGCAAGTAGGTGTGAGTGTGTGTGTGTGTGTGTGTGTGTGTGTGTGTGTGTGTGTGTGTACGTGCATGCGTGTGTGTTTGTGCGCGTGTGTAATATTTGTGCGAATGTGTGTGAGTGTTATTGTGTGAGTGTGTGAATATGGTTTGTATGGGAACATGCATTTATGTAAAGCGCCTAGAGCTGTGTTCGCACGGGAATGGGCGCTATAGAAATGATCTACATTATTATTATTATTATTATTATTATCATTATTTGAGGGTTTTTCACTATATGAGCCTTCGGTATTGTGAGCTGTAAGTGGTAAGTAGGTATTCCAAACTAAAAACAACTTGAGTCCTCATATTGGTGTTCCAACCCATGGCATTCATCACATCTCCTAAGTAAACCAGGGGACAAAATGGTCATTATTATAATCCATGAAAAGAAATGACTCAATTATGGATTCTGTAGGCTTTCTTGCTGCGGGGGAAACTTACACTCTCAACATTGGGACATATTTGGGCCATTCTAAAATAAAAAGTCCACACTGAAATCAATGGAATCATAGGCTTTCTTATCAAATCATAGCTTTCACCTTTTTATTAGACTTAAGGTAAAAAACATGCTAGGATAACAACAAGTTCATGAAAATCAGATGTATTCAAAAATGGAGGGGGAAAAAAAGACATGTAGAAAAAAAAAAAGACTTATGTAAAAGAAAAAAAGACTTATGTAAAAAAAAAAAAATTATGTAGAAAAAAAAGACTACATGTTAAAAAAAAAAAAGACTTATGTAGAAAAAAAAAAGACATGAAGAAAAGAAAAAAAGACATGTAGAAAAAAAAAAGACATGTAAAAAAAAAAAAGAAGACTTATGCAGTGCCAAAAAGGGAACACTAAGAGCCCCATTTGTGAAGTATTCTAAATCAGTGAAAAGTGACTCAACATTACAAAAATGTATCGTATAGGTTCACACACAGACGGGGATCAGTTTTTTTCCCCAAGACTTTCGATAACTACAAACCTATCCAGAACCCTGTTACTTAAGCTTTTAAGCCCAAAAAGACCATTTGGCAGAAAATCTCAGAATTCTGTACACATAACATCAAGTGAAAAGAACAACAACAAAAAATCACTTTTTAAATCAACAAATTAAGCTACACGACTGCATCCTACATCAAATTAAAGCTTATTTCAAGCTCTACACACAGTTCAGTCGGGGTGTGTGTGTGTGCGTCTGAGTGTGTGTGTGTGTGTGTGCGTGTGTGTCTTTGTAAGCATAAAAAAAAACATAATTGCACTTCACGAATTGCTCATTCAAATGTCAAGGTCCTTCGTTGTTCAATGATAATGATGACAACTTGTGATAAGGAAATTATAATTAATACAAAATCAACATATGAAGCGACAAGTGTTATCCATGTATATCATACATAAAATGCAAACTTACTTTACAGTATATCATACATAAAATGAAAACTTACTTTACACTGTACACAATGAAACAGGTTACTTGAAAGCAAAATTATTCTTCCGCATAAAAATGAATCGATAGTCAACGTTTTAAGGTCTTTAAAATTTTGTTTAAAAATAAAGACATCTAGATCTAGATCTAGTGATTGAGTACATAATTCATAAAATTCACAACTTATGTATATACAGGGCAGTATCATACATTAAATGAATGCTCATTTAAAGCTTCACGTAGTGAAACAGCTGCCAGTACCAAAACCATTCCAACTTTTCATCAAAAAGTTTTTTAAAAATACACAAGTCATTAAAGCATCAAAATTTGTCGTTATCCCATGAAATGTGACATTTAAACCTTTCATGAAAAAGTATTTAAAAAAACAAAACCATACAAGACTTTTAAGTATCAAAATGTGTCTGATTATCCCATGAAATAAGGACATCCAGTGATGATTCAAAAATAAAAATCAACAAAACTTGTACACAAAAATGACTACCCTTGCACTTCATGAATTTGTCATCTATAGATCTGAGCATTCGTCAAAGTTCCATGAATAAAGAGGAAATCTGATGGTGAACTACAATCTCAAATACATCAACAAATTATGCCACTGGGCTTTATTTACACCAGTTGGTACGTGGCCTGCACAGTAACTTCTCCCTGAAGGGTTTCAATCTCGTAGACAAAGGCTTCTATAACACTCACAACAATTAAACAACTGAGGCCAGTAAAGATTCTCTTTTCTCTTATTCATTCTAGAGACAAGAGCACAAAATTTAAAGGTACAACGTTTGAAAGCACTGTAAAATTTTTCAACACGAACAAGCAGGGTTGGGCGATCTAAGCCCCATTCTATAGAGAGGTAAGGAGGCATCTCAGTAAAGTCACAAGGAAAAATCTAGAAAGTCTTTTTCACTGTTGATACTGTTCTGTATGGTCCACGAAGACTGTCACGTTCTCTCTATGTGCTCGAGATCTTGTGCTGGAGTCTTGAAGAGGTCACCATCGGTTGGGGAAAAGTCTGAGAAACGAATTATTATATCAATAGCAATTATAATTATAATGCTGGGGGGAGAAAAACAAAGGGTGTTTAATTTAGTTTAGTTTTAATAGAGGTTTTACTGCACTCGCAACTGCATAAGGTCATATGAGCGCCAGAAGATTAGAGGCGTTACAAGAGAGTAACAAACATAAAAAAGAAGAAGGAGAGATAAGAACGATAGATGTTTCATAGGAAAGAAGGAGCAAACCACACCAGAGCACCCGCCAACCACCCACAGGGTGTTTAATGAACTTCAAAATTGTAACAGACATGGCATAGTAAAACCCTGACACTGCTCTCCTTTCTACAACGCTAATCCCCACAGAGCACTAAAATGCTGTGCTGGAGCGGGATTCCCGCAAAATGGTATAGGTTTAACGCCCCTATCAACACTATCAGGTTATTTAAGGAGGTGAGACTTCCAGGTTTAACGTCCATCTCCAAAAGGACCAGGCTCTCTGAAAGGACCGAGCCAAATGGGAAATTCGTGTAAAGTGTCTGTACCAAGGACTTATCGGACCGAGCTGAGACTCGAACTCCTGAACACGCAATCTCACGATTACGGGTCCGATAGCCTAACCACTAGGCTACCGACGCCACCTTGGATTTTACCGCAAAGACAGACACAAACAGATCTAGTGAAAAAACTCACCCTTCATAAAGAGAGTTTCTTAATAAAATAAAGAAAAGAGCAACCATGAAAACGTACCTCTGGCTCTAGTACAAACATATAAAAAGGAGTTTGACTTTACTACATTACTAAATAAGAGATTATTTCAAATTCATAATTGCAACCGGTCTTTCAGATTAACTTAGATTCAGCCTGAAATATTTTGTTAAAAAGCTGTTCTATGCCAACATGTTAAAATTCCATTGAAATGTTAAAAACGAAGAAGAAATAAAAAAGAAGCAGTTATGTGATGGAAGGAGGCATGGCTCAGGGAGAAGAAACACGTCTCGGACCTGACATCATTTGAAGTTGCATTTTTCTTTTTCTAAGAAACAAATTGAACCAGCAGCCTACTTTTTCTCATTCATTAGAGATCTAAGCATGAGCAGTCTGCGTGCCCATATTTGTTTGGACACGGGACAAAATTTAAAAATTTACAGAGCAGTGAGCGTCCTTTTTCAAGTAAGAGGAAGGAAGTTGCCCCTCGTGACCGTGTCAGCAAACTGAGTAAAGCAAAGCGAGCCAGGTGAATATAAAATTAAATTGGAAACCTTCTTTCCACTTGCAGTGCTAAAAAAAAATACCAACATTTATTTACTAATTTATCTGATGATAGTGACAGGAGTCTGTCAAAAAGTTTTTTTTGAGAAATACTGAAAGTTTCAAAGAGATCTTCGTACTAGAAGTATTCTAAAATGTGAAGAATACAACCGTAGGGGTACAAAATGACCCCAGGGCATATGGATAGGGTTAAGGGGTAGAAGGATAAATAAATAATTCATAAACATGCATGGCAAACGATTGATCATAAAATAATTGAAGCACAACGTGAAATGCTTACAAATATTTAGCATTCACATTAAATAAGTCAGTCCACGGATATTTGGTAGACAAGTCCGTTTGCAGGACACTAAAGTTTAAAAAAAGGCAAACCAGTTGATCAGACTGCTTGCCATGAGATCGATTGCCACAAGTTCTAACATTCTTTTAAAAAATGAAAAGTGATAATATAAATCATGAAATATTATAAGCAAAAATACTTACGTATTGATTCGACTTGGGACGACTTGACAGTTGAATATTCACAGACTGGTCACTTACTGAGCAAGTTGACATAATGGGGGCGCAAATTCACTTCCTGGAACAGCTTCAAAAGTCACAAAGGCGACATAGAAATATTCCGAAATCGGCTTTATCATCCCTCATAAACATATATTCTGCTATTTCATGAAATCAAGTCAATGATCAAAAATGAAAAAAACAGAAAATCTCCAAACTGGTAAATATTCGAACCTTACTTTACACAGCTGTTTTTCTCACTTTTCCAAATTTTCCAGTCTCAAATCAACAGATGATTTTTTTGGACAGTATAAACAGGGAAAGATTAATCCATATTTAGATCAAAACGGCAAGAACATCCATTGTTTCATGGCGAGTGGTTGCAATTATTTTGTAAATGACCTTGCCCGACAGTGGCTACACCTTTTTGGGGTCGGTGAACAAAGTCCATACTTAACGTCTTCGTTTACTAGTCAGATATAATATAATATTTATTATTCCTAAGTTATCATTCTTTAGCAAAGTTTAAGGGTTTCAGTCTGTAGTAGGATGAGGTCAATTGCAGTCTTTTGTTTCATTTCATCATCATCATCATCATCATCCAGTGCCAGATCTGCGACAGACATTGGCGATCATGGTTTTCCATTCATTCCTTCGCTCGGATGCTCTCAAAAGAGCTACTTTTCCCTGATCTTTCCCTGTTACGCTGACATAACAATGGTTGTTTAGTGTTGAGAAAAAAGCAAGATGAACCGACGGCGGTAAGACAAAGTGGCAGAAACTAACAAGCGGCACCCTCCTACCATCACCCACCTTCGTAGCAAAGATTAGGCATCAGCTCTAAAAAGTCTAGAGGCATACAGGTAAATAAAAGAAAAACTAAAGGAAACAAACCATATTGGATCCGGAGCTCTGAGGGGTGTAGGCCATCCCTGGCATGGTGCTCGACGAGACTTTGGTGGAGGAGCCTGCGCTCGGGAGACACAACGTGGGCGTTTTGCTGTCCGGGGAGTCGGGGATCTCTATGACAGACACAGAAGGAGAGAGCAGCTTCTTCGCTCCCGCACTATCGCCAGGCTTCACGGACAGACCGCTCGTTTTCTGGGACTGCGACACGGCCAGGTGAGAAGGCAGTAGGGCAGACGGCGCTTTCGCCCCACCCGATTTCCCCGACCGACTCCCAGCAGCGGACAACAGCGCCACGTCCAGGAGTTTAGAGTTGGCAAGGGTCCCCCCTACGGCCCCTGAAGAAAGCGGTAAAGCTGTCTTCGGCTCTGAATTCGGCAAGTTGATCACCACGTCGCTGATATGTTCCGCGTGGTTCTCAGTGGAGCTGGAGATCTCGATGACGTCCTCTGTTTTTGTGACGTGCGTGCGAGGAGTCTCTGCGTTCGACGGGGTCGCTGTCACTTCAGGGGCAGGAGACGCCAGCTTTCTCATGGACATGGCTGGCTTCTTCGCCCCGGCTCTGAATTGAAGATGTTACAGTAACATCAATGAGAAAAGGAATCAAAACAACAATATTATCAACTAAAATACCATAAAATGTTGCTCCCATTACCCAAACATAACATTTTCATTAGGACATGTAATATAATATACATTTGCAAAATCAAGCCAAAATATTTATACAATAACCGTGCCCATCTAAAGTTTAGTCCTGGAATAGTTTGAGTAAGGAGGGGGTTTGGGGGGGGGGGGGGGGGAAGACAGACAGATAGACAGACAGACATGAACAAGAAGTAGGACCTACCAGGGGCACCCTCTGACCTCCCCCCTGATATTATCCAAATCTGTGAGTAAACCTCAACTCAATGACAACAGCAACTTTTCTTTCTCCTCTCCTTGTAGCTGTTACTACTCCCAACTCTTGGAGGATACAGTTGGGACATCAACATTCACTCACTTGGCATTTTACTTTCCAGTTTAAGTAAGAGTTTTATGGCATTTGCAACACAATTAAGCCACATAAGTGTGGGAGATTAGAAGCATTGCTAGAGAGCAACATACTCAGAAAACAAGTAGGAGAGTAATGACAATTGAAAATAAATATTTGAGAGTAGAGTATATACTCACTTTGTGAACTCCTCATGAACCGCCTTACTTTCTTTGAAGAGCATCCTGAAAGAGAAACAGAACAATGAGCACAACGAGCTGGAAAGTCAGTATCTCCTTATTAACTCCCTATCACCAGCAAGCCGCTCCAAGCGGCTTGCAGTCGAAACCGCTGTGCCGGAGAACTGCGGGCAGCAACTCGGCCACATTCCTTTACAATGACTTTGACATTAAATTACTTTTCCGCAATTTCCGTGGAGGTCTCTTTTACCGGAAGTTCATTCATTAGATGAAGAATACTCAAAATAGGTTGGTTTTTCTTTAAATTTATAATGATCCATTTAATGATGTTATTGTAACATTATAAAAGAATTAGTACCAAAAAAAAGGGTCCAGGCGTAATGGGTTTACTCCCCCCTCCCCCCCCCCCCCCCCCCCCCCCCGATAAAGAGTCTGTAACACAGACCCATTAACTATTGTTAAAATAATACAAAATCATTGCTAAAAATAAAACACTTGGGGGATCAAGGAGAGAAAGTGGAGGTGGGGTGAGGAGCAGAAAGAGGAAACCATAACATTTGACAGAACAGGACAAGAAAGGTAGTGAACTTCGAAAATTTTCGAGAAAAAAAAAGAAACCAAGACCAGAGGATAACAACCCCTTTCTACTCCTGACTACGTCTTCTTCCCCAACCAACCGTGTCTGCATCCAGCCTTGCGGCCATATTGGTTTGATCTCTTTGTCCAGGTAGGTCTTCAGGTAGTCCTCTGCGGTCTCATTCCTCGACCGGCACGTGTTGAACAGCTTCATCTTCGTGGAGACCACATTCAGCAGCAGCTCTCTGCAACAATACATTACCATAATATGTTTCAAAAAAGTGTTCTTATTCATACAAAACAAAAACAAAATTTACTTTAGTATACAAAACAAAACAAATAGAATACCATCCTTATATGAAATGAAACAAAACCAAAGAAATATACAACAATTTTTTGACTAACTATATAAAAGTGTGTATACTTTTAAAAACGAAAAAGTGAATCTATTCAAATTCAAGCAAAACAGAACAAAGAGTGCTTGCAACCTCTCTTTTTCACTACTAGTGTCAAAATACCATTCTCATCACCAGCTCTTGACGTTTGGCTAGACTATGCGAGAATGACGGTTAGCCAAAGAACTGCGCCACTATACTGTTCTATCACAGATTCAGTGCCCGTACATGTTTTCTAGGAGAAACACAGGGGCTGGCAAAACCTCTTCTCTCCCTTTGTTGCATTACTTAGAGGCCTGGTCAACTTCTCCAGAAATTTCCATACAGATGAGATGACAGGACCAATCTTAAAGTGACTGTGTCTGTCCATCTACCTAGTAGAGAAAAAATGCCACAAACTTCATCTGTTGATAATGCACACGTGCAGAGCTGGAATCCATCTCAAGAGAATTTAACCATTGTCTTCCCCCCCCCCAAAAAAGCTCTTTGTACACATGCAAGATTTCATTTCTCGAAGTTTTTAATTTTCACAAAAGATGTTTCACTTACAAAAGTCTACAGAAACTTTGTTCCAATTACCAATTCCGTAAATTCATGTTTTTAAGACATTTCAAACAATCCCAACAACATATCAGCAGCACATTATGTGATTAACCACACTCACTTTATTTCGGGAGTCCACCGGAACTTTCTCCGAGGAAGCTTCGACTTCTTTTTTACGTCAACTGCTTTGTCTTCCCCCTCACTCTCCGTGGAGGCCTCGTCTTTAGCTGCCTCGTTCCCGTCTTCTCCCGCCTCGAGCCTGAAAAAAACAGTGGGAGAAATGGTAACCATAACTATAGAGGAAAAAAAACCCCTACACAATGCTTCAAGAAGAGGAAAACAGTGAACCCTATTACATTTTTGAGAGACAATTCACGCTGGATCGGAAAAGTAAAGTAAGAGAGACAATTCATTATCCACAATTACCTCAGCAAACTTTGTGGGTTTTTAGACATGAAAGTCCTCACCAATGAAACCCAGGGTTGTAGCACAAATACAGGGTTATATATTTTTTTTAAACACTTCTTTTTGAAACAAGAAAAAGTATTGATTCCTGAAAGAAGCTTTACTTTGCACTGTCAAGCACAAGAACTAAAACAACATTATCTAAAAAATAAATCAAATGGAAAAAAAAAGGAAACATTCTTAGAGGAAAAAACCTACGCTGCACTTACAAAAAGAAAATAATAATTCCCACCAACTTTTTCAAAGACAATCTCTTAACCACAATTACCCCAGCAAACCTTGGGGTTTCTACTTTAAGATAAGATAAGATAAGATAAGATAAGATAAGATAGTACTTATTATCCCAGAGGGAAATTTTCCTTGGCTGTACAGGACCGTAAAAACACATGCAGGTATACATTAAAAAAATTTTAATCATATATATTACTCTCATTAAAATTCAATATGAAAGGAGAAGTAAAGCTGACAAAATGTACATATCAAATGCATCATTCAACCACATGCAGGAATTTAAATACTAGACCTTTGGAGTTATATACAGATACATACTCTAAGAGCAACACACATCTATGCTCATTCTGACAAAAGCCTCATGCTAGATGGTAAAAAACTTCTGTTATATTTTTCTTTCTTTGTTTTTGGAGGTACATATCTGCCGCTGCGAGATCTTACAATTTGTGTGGAAAAGGGGTGTGATGGGTCGTTTATAATGCTTTTTATCTTTTTTATACGTGTGGTGTTATACATTTCATCCATTCTTATAAAATCATATCCAGAGATCTTGCTGGCTTTCTTAATGGTTCTGTCAAATTTTTCTTTATCTTTCACCTTACAATTCCCACCCCAGCTGCAAATACAAAATAATAGCACACTTTCAATCATAGAATGGTAAAAAAGGGACATCATCTTATTGTTAACACAGAAACTTTTTAATTTCCTTAGTCTTCATATGTAACATTCAGGCTTGAAGCCCAAACAAAATTCTCTCTATAAAAACAAACAAATACAAAACTAGAAGAAACCTTATTGATGCCCAAATCGAAATTTGCTTTGCATCATGATAAAAAAGTCGTCTGCCAAAAAGGCAAAAATGAGAAAGTACAAGATGACAAGCCGAAAGAAAGAAAAAGAGCAAGAAAAGACGATGAAAAAATGAACGGTCTTACTTTGCTTTGGCCACCTCTGCTTCGTGTGCTTCCACTTGAGCTGGCATCACGTTTAGAATGGCTGTGGAAGAAAGAAAAGTCGTTGCTGCTGTTATGGGTTTTTTAATTAGTTTTTAGTAAGTTTTACAGTGCTTGAAACAAATAGGTACCTGTCAAATAAGTGCTGAAGATTAGATGAGTTACTTGAGGATATCATACAAATAAAAGAATGAGGAGAGATCTATTTGCGATTGACAGAGGTGGAGTCACCTTGTTTAAGTGGTAAAATTAGTGAGAAATTGGTCGCCAAAGTTTGGTAACTTCAATAGCATCAGTGTCCTTGAAAAATTAAATATTACATGTTTTGCGGCTTTAACCAACGTTTTGCAGTAAAAATCATATGAAAATAAGTTTTTTTATATGGACATTAAAGGTGGTCAGCCAAAAAAAGAAAATTTGATAAAATCGTCAAAGTGGTTGAAAATTGCCTTTTTTTCCCCGATTTCATTATTATGATGAGCACCTGATTCTACCACACTACCTCACATACTATTGCGCATTTTAACCCCCCCCCCCCCCCCCCCAAGGGGAATAAGGGGAATCCCCCCCAAGGTGAATCAGCACTGGTACACTCATCCATAACACTGATCCATAATAGACAAAACACCCATCCATAACACTGATCCATAATAGACAAAACACCCATCCATAACACTGATCCATAATAGACAAAACACCCATCCATAACACTCATCCATAATAGACAAAACACCCATCCATAACACTGATCCATAATAGACAAAACACCCATCCATAACACTCATCCATAACAGACAAAACACCCATCCATATTGAGTCTTGAAAAATTTTTTAAGTGCAAAGCCTCAAAGCCTCACCGTCCTTGAGCTTCTGCGTGGGTCCCTTAAGCTGGTCCTCCTGCTGACTCTCCCTCAGCTTCTTGGCCCGCCGTTGGATCGCCTGCTTCCCGCAAGGCAGGTGCTCGCCCAGGTGGTTGAAAATGGTGGTCCGGCTGGTGCCCGGCAAGTTACGGGACCCGAGCTCAATTCTGGAGAGAGAGAAAGAGGAAAACATTACGTTTGGTTTTGAAGAGAAGTTCATACAATTCGTCAACCTTACAACCGTTTAGCACTTTTAGGGAAAAGAAATACAGACCGACAGAAATAATAGAAGGAAGGAAGGAAGGAAGGAAGGGTAGAAGACAGAACCCCAGAATGGAACTCTCAGGCTACATGCAGGAGAAACACACAATTTTTTAATAAGGCAAACATAATTATACATCTGGACCCCTTCGAAAAGTAGCAAAACCAAACAGACCAGTAAACGTTCACCGAGAAACAGTAATTTGAGGAATGTGAAATAACAGAATTTAGCTAAACTTCTGCAAATGATCTAAATAAAGACAATTCTTTCAAAGGTCAACAGGCACAGAACACAATAATAATAATAACCACCACTATCACAAGAAAAAAAATAATCACCCCACAACATTTTTAAAGTCTACCCAGTATTAATAATAATTCATCCAATAACTTCTTTAAGAGAAATAGAAGAAGTACAGATTAATATGGCTTGTGGCTTCTGCTATGGCCAATGACACCAATTCTGGCAGAGAAAATTTCGCCAAATTTTGAGCATTTAAAAGCTTCATTTCCAATAATGGACATGTGAAGCTTGTGGGCTTCTCGCTTGGCTTCCTGAAACCTGTAATTCATGAAACCTCATATTATGATTTGCCGCCCTCTGTGATCGCTGCTTTCCAACTGGGTCAGTCAGGAGCTAGGACCTCCCATGTCAAGGGTTTAATGTTGAAATCCTTCCGAGGCGTTTCAGGAGATTTTTATAATTTCTTTTTAAAGCGCCACCTTTACGCTTCCCTGAGGACAATTCAGAATTCAGTCCCTACAATACAAGAGAGGGTCAAATGGAGTTACTCATTTTTTGGAGACAGCGATGTGTATGAAAAAAAACAACCCGAGAGTATTTACCCCTGCACAGTCGGATCATGAAAAAAAGAAAGAAGCTATATACAAACTATACACAGCTCTCAGTCTTGAAAGGTAGGCCCAAAGCCCAAATCATATGAAAAAAAACCAAAACAACTCACTCAAGAAGAAGCCTGTTTACTTCAGCTGAGAAAAACTTTGATTTCCCTTCTTTACTCTCCTTTGCTTCCTGAAAAACAAAACAACAAAAATTTATTTAGGTCTAGTAAGAGTTTTACATCACTCGCAACACAAATAGGTCAGATAAAATTGCTGAAGACTTGAGCCACAAAGAGCAGAAGTAGAACAAATGGACACGTAAGTATTTTCTAAATTATCTCTTCAGTCTCTCAGACATCACAGGATTTTATGTCAATCCACAGACAGACCAAGAAACGAGGATACATTCTTCATATCTTTCAATACTGCATTCAACCTGCAGTCTTGTTAACTAAAATTTTCACATCCCTTCTTGAGACCATATTTTTTCTTTAAATAAAGAAAAAGAATCCATACAAAAGGTTTCAACGATAAAGGACCTTGCAGTTTAAGAATGGGAGGTATACAAACTATCGCAGTTTTTGCACAAAAAAAATCCAGTATTGTATCGTCTCGCTTACCCTGTAAACCAATGTCAAACACATTTTTCTTGGGACCACAATGATGATACCTAGCCCGAAGATTAATAAGTGCCACAGCTCCAACGTAAAAATACAATGCACTCGACAGAGATGTCAACATTATCACCATATGTTCTTCCCTTCATAATTCTAAAACTGGGACCACAATGATACCTAGCCCGAAGATTAATTAGAGCCACAGCTCCAACCCCAAAATTACAACGCACTCGATACAGATGTCAACATTGTCATCCTATGTCCTTACCTTCTTAATTCTATCAATAGCTTCCAGCAATGTCGAGGGCAACTGAGAGGGCAGCTGGGTGCTTTTCGCAGATAGGTTTTGATCTCCCTTGTTCGGTGTCTCCTCAGTTCCCGATCGGCTCGAAGAGTCTTCCTTCATGGAATCTTGCAAAATTGATTCAAATGCATCCTGGCCAACAAAAAAAAAAGAAAGAAATGACATGAACAATCCCACCAGTTCTTAGTTTTAGTGAAAGAGTTTTACAGCACTTACGACACAAATAGGTTATTTAAATACTAAAAATCATCAGTGTTACTAGAGAGTAACATACAAAGAAAAGAAAGAGGAGTGATAAGGACGATAAGCGTTGGATTGGAGAAAGAAGAAGCAAACCATACTAGAGCACCCGCCAACCATCCACAATCACACCAAAGAGAAACAACAACGTATCGCTGTGAACATACCGTACGTATGCTAACTTATTCACTACAATTATAGCCAAAACCTTCGGCACAAGACCAACATATGAGTTCTCAGAGATTATAATAGTATGGGACAGAGCGCTATAAAAATGCAATCTAATCTTTTTTTTAAATTATTCTTTTTTAAGACAGACTTTTGCCCTCTACGTCAACGTAATTAAATATGAGGGTCAAAAGTGCCTCTCTCTCTCTCTCTCTCACACACACCAACTACCTGAAAATTTCTATACATACAAACAAGGCAAGCTCATCCACCCACCTTCAAATTATCGGTAAGACTGCACTTGGGGGCTGCCGGGGCGCATCTACGTTTTTTCTTTTTCAAGTAATTCTTTTAAAAGGCAAGAATCCCAAACCTTTCACACAAACACACACTCACACACACCCAACCACACAAACAAGGCAAGCCAACCTACCTTCAAATTGTCGGTAAGACTGCACTTGACGGGTGGCGGGGGCACGTCTACAACAGCTGCTGTTGCGGTGGTCGTGCTGCTGACCACAGCCGAGGAAGCCACTGCCGAGGAGTTGCTGGTCACCGTGGAAACGGGCGTCGCTGGGGCCGTGGTGGCCACCACAGCCGTCGAATTCACCACCGCCGCAGCCGTCGCCGTTGCTGTGCTAGAGGTAGTCGTCACAGACATCGGGGCGCTGGGGGTGCTCGCAGCGGCGGTCGTCACGGGAACGGGAACGGGAACAGGAGCAGCCGTCTTTTGCCGGTCCCCGACATTTTTATTCCTATTTATGATACAAAACGAAGTGAAAGAAAACAAATTACAGAGTATGAAGCTTTATCAAAAGCAAATAAAAATTTTTTTTTTTTTGCAGAAAAATGTTTTAACAGCAACCATTGACTAATAGACTTTTTCCGGCACATAGTATTTATAAAAGAAATTCTTAGCTGTATTACCTGTCCTGAGCAACAACGTCATTGCACACCAGACAGTATAAAAGAAATAGAATCATATGAATAATGAACATCTGTAACTATTTTAACTTTGGTATACAAAGGTCTCTATTTAAGAAACCTGACACCAGGAGCCACTTCCCCTCC